CTCCTTTTCAGAGCAGGGGAGTGGAAGGGGAGAGGGGGAGTGAGGTTGCAGTATTGCTGTGCACCCTCCTTGCACGTGTTTTGCTGCACTCATTCCCTTTGCTCTGCCTCCTAAGAAAACAAAATTTACCTCCAGCAATGGTTTGTTCTGTCCAGTTGGGGCAAGGAGAGAGGAATGCCATACATCCCATAGGGAATTGGTGCTGTCCCACAGCATGTCCAGCTCCCCTGCAACTCACCCATCCCCTTCACTGTTGTCCCAGGTATGCTTCTTGGCAAGTCTGAGCCTTGAAAGGAGGGAAGAGATTCAGAAAATCAGGATGTGCTCAAAGTAAATAAGTGTTTTAGCTGAAGTGCTGAGAGCTCTTTCCCTGAGTGCTTGCGGTAAGCTCCATTACCGCCGGGGCTCGGGACCTTCCGTGATGTGCAGGCGGGGAGAACGCTCCTTAACGCCAGATTGGAGCTGTCTTTCGTAATGCAATTATTCCTCAATTGTCTTGAAATGGAACACAATTAGGAAAGGAAGAGGGGGGAGAGTGTGCAGTGGTAGTTGTGTTCTGTAATGCATGGGCTGTGGGGATGCTGGACGCAGCCCTTGGCCAGGGCCATAGGCTGAAGCCTTTACCTTAAGAGTGAGGAGTAAAGAGGAGGGTTTGGGTTCTTCTTTTCCCTTTCATCTTGAAAAATAATTAGGCTCAAAAGTGTTTCAGAAGGGGCTTTGATAAGGCTTCTGAAGAGCCTTATCAAAGCAGTGGCATCTCCATCTGCAGAACTCCCCTGGGTTACAGAGCTGTGCCATCGTCCCTGGATAACCCTTCCTGGCCAGAGGGATCTGAGGCCAGGATGCAGGGATCATAAAATCACAGAATAGTTTGGGTAGGAAGGAACCTTAAAGGTCATTTTGTTCTACCCCCCTGCCATGGACAGGAATACCTTCTATTAAAAGCATGGAGAATCCATCCATGGGTGGAAGTATCCAAAAATCCTACAAAGAGTTTCCTTCCTAGGACTGATTCTGAAACCCCTGCTGGTCCATGTTGTCCCTATCTTGTACCCCTGTGGGCAAAAGGTTTATTTAAACTGATGATTCAATGTAGCCAGTGTTGAGGGCTGAAGGATGGAGGAGAGTCTGTGGGGTTTGGGGGGGCTCCACATCCCTGGGTATGGATGTAGAGAACACCCCCAGAGCTCTCTCTGACTCTAAAGCTTTAGGACTTTCACTGGCAGGGGAACCACGGAGCTCCTGGACCATGGCTGGCTTTGCTTCACCCATCCTTGGACAGACACCCCCCAGACAGACAGCTCACAAGTTTCTGGGAAATCTTAGCCATGGAAAAAAATTCCCAGTCCTGAGTGACTCATGGGGGAGATAATTGCCTACACTGCTTGTTTTTCTTCCTACTTTTGCCTAAAGAAACCATCATCTCCAGTGCCTGGCACTGGGACACCACAACTTTCACCATTTCCCTTTGTTTTGTCTGAATTTTTTTCACTCTGGGAGGATGGGGTGGGGATGTGGGGGGGTTGTTTCTCCCACTGCCAGAGCCCCCCTGCAGCAGAGCAGGGCTGGGGATGTGCCTGCTCCCCAAAGGAGTCACGCCACTGTGCAGATTCTTTGGTGGCTAGAAAGGGTTGTGCTGGTGGACAAAATCTCTTCCTTCACCCCATCCAGTGATTTCATGAAACCTGGGGGAGCATGATCACCCCTGGGGCTGATTCTGGATCCCACTGTGCTCGTAACTTGGGCTGGAGTTGGGGCAAGAGCCACAAGTACTGCACACATCCCTCCCCAGGAAAGCACCAGCTTTCATTTTCTCCAGGATTGAGACTGGAGAAAAAAAACAAAAGCTTTATAGGCAGCCCTGAGCTCACATGCCCACCTCTCCTACATCAGGAATGCCAAAGGAGAGCCCAGCCTCAGTGCCCTGGCTGGACAGGGACTGTGGTACCCCAGCACCCACCACAGCCCCAGGTCCTCTGAACCCCCCCTCACCATTATAAAAGCTTTGCTGAATCAGATCTAAACCAGGCCTGGAAATTCCTTTGGCATGAGCTGAGCAGGGGATTTCAAACCACATATAGTTATTTCATTGCAACGCCTGTGCTTTCTTTTAAATATATATATGTATTTTGATTTGGGGAGAGTGGGGGTTCTGCTGCTTTCCCAGCCTGTGGGTTTTGTAGAGTCCCCATCCCGATGCTGCTCAGCATTCCGGGGCTGCCCCACTCCCATACAAAAAGCTTTTTCCTTCTGGCTGCTGGCTCATTAATACAGCTCAATTAAAGCTTACTCCCCTGGTGTCCAAAGGTATTGGATTCCCAGTCCCTTCTCACCCTGCTCCACTGTTGTGGGCACAGTCCTACTGAGTACCAGGACTGTCACCCCTCTCTGGGTTAAAAGGGGTTTTTGTGGAGATTTTTCCCTCTCAGGCTTGGGGAGCACGGATATCTTACTGGAACAACACTGCTGCAGAATGAGATCCATAACCTTTGTCTTGGCTTTATCTCGTGACTTACAGAGCACATGTAAACACACAGCCTGGCTAAGTGAGGCACATGGGGCTGGTCACCCCACAACCACCACCCTATTTCCCAGGGGGAGATCCTCCTAGAACTGCCACAGGAGCATGAAGCAGCTCTGAAACCACCAGAGATGGAAACTGGGCAGGCAGGAGAGTTTTTCCAGGGTGGGATTAAGATGTAATCATTTCCATCAGAGTCCCTGCCTACCATGGCTGGGCAGGGCTCCTGTCCCACAGCCCTCTACTCCCCTTCCCCTGCTCACCTCCATGGCAAACACTTTCACAGGGAGACACTGAGAGCTTTTAATAGAAAATCAGAAGTTTAAATTGGCACAGCAGCAGCTGCAGCAGTGCTTGGGGCCATGCTGTGCTGACAGTTTATTTAAGAGAAAAGGAAAAAAAAGAAGAAAAGGAATAATAATAATATTGAACATGCAAAGCAGAGCGAGGGAGAAGGGGGCTGTTCCAATGTTTCTCATTTCTGTTTGGAGAGACTAAGGAAACACTACTCCCAGGCTCAGAGTAATGGGACATTTAAAGTTTAAATTACATTGCTTTGCTGTTTGACTAGCAGAAGAAGTTTGGGTTTGGGGACTGGGCATGGCTGTAGAGGTGGCATTGCTCCCTGAGCTGGTGGCCCAGAGAACACCAAGCAAGATCCAAAACCCAGGGGCTTCTCTTGGGATGTTCTGCCACAGCTCCCCAGGGCAATGACTTAAAATATTTCCTTTCCTCCACAGGGAAAGGTGGCAGGAAGTCCCCAGAAGCTCACATTGGCAGGATTTACCCCCTTCCTTAATTTCTAGGCTGCCAGACAGGTTTCTGGTAGCAGAGGGCTCTTTTTGAACAATTTCTTATTGTAGCAACCACAAATGAGAAGTGAGGAGGAAAAAAATGGGATGAACTGCTTGCTCCATTTGCTTTGCCAGCATGAGGGTTCCCTGGTTGGGACAGGTTAGGGGCTGGAGAAGCAACAGGGAGGAATGGGGCTGGGTACTGGAGGGCTGGGTAATGGGGGGAGCTGGGCAGGGTGTCAAGCATCTGTGCTTCCGTGGAGGGAAAAGATTCTCCAAAGGGATTTTCCTTTGGAAAGGGTTCTATAATTACCTGGTTATAATTATTTCCTACAGTCCCTAGCAGCCCTCCCCCAGCTCAGCATCCCCCCACTATGGATCTGAAAATCTCCACCCCAAATATTTAACATCCAGCCTGCTACTGTTTTTCTGGTAGCAAATTCCTTCCCAAATCTCCCCTGCAATTTGTGGCAGGCAAACCTTGTTTGAGTTTGAGGATTTAGCACATTTTTGCTGCACTGTTTTTTGCAGGGAGGACCTGGGGCTGTCTGGACTGCATTTTGTGTGGTCTGGCCACCCCCGAGCACAGCATCCCGCACCCCACCTCATCAGGGGCACCCCAGCATCCATCCTGCCCAGCCCCAGCAGCAGGAAGGCACGGGACCCCCACACCCAAGGACCATCCCCACACCCTGTTCCCTCTGCCTGTGCCCCTGCACATCTGGGGCTGCCACTGAAGCTCAAGGTCGCTGGGCTTTTATGTTGTTCTTTCTTTTTCCATTTTATGTGGTTTGTGGGCATATAATGGAAGGTGGATTCTGGATGGGTTTGTTCTCTTGCCAGCCTGAATTAATAATCCAGTCGGGCTTCTTTCTTTCTCTCTCTCTCTCTCTTTCTTTTTTTTTTTTTTTTCCCTGTGGATTTTATTTTAGGCAATGGAAAAGTCACTGGCTGGCAAGGCTGGCCCTCGCACCGGCCTCCGATTGCATCGCTCACCGAAGCACAGCCGCACCCTAGCCCAGGGCAGCAAGATGCTGCCAGCCCTGGAAGCATCCAGGGGCTTATCTGCTGATGGTGCTGCCCCCGGCTCGGCACAGCCGGCAGGGAGGAGCCCGGGAGTGCCCTGCACCTCTGTCCTTTGAAATCTATAGCGTTTTACTGGAAGAGGGAGTTGAAGGGTGAATTAAAGCCTTTTCCTGCGAGAAGAGATGCTGCCTGTGCCAGTGGCGATGAGCACGCAGGGCTCGCCATCCTCACCGAAAGGCACGGCGCTGGGCGATGAGGAGTTAAAAGCTTGGCCAAGGTGGAGCAGGAGCAGAGCTGATCCAGCTCCCCACCGCAGTTTCATCGGCACCCTGAGCCATTCCCAGCTCCCCCAGACAGGTCCCTATGGGGCATCCGAGCCCAGGGTGTCCCCATCCCTCGCCAGCCGGGGTGTGCTCCCTCCCCATCAATCTCAGTGCACAGAAACCCAGTCCAAGTCCATCCTCCGTCTCCCAAGGTGGAGGGGTGGTGGTCCCTGGACATCGCTCGCCTCTGGCAGCATTGTGAAGCCCCCCAAGCCCCCCGGCCCTCGCCAGGAGGCGATTGCCGGCAGGAGGAGATGCGGCTCCGCTCCCCGGGGCGCTGGCAGCCTTGGCACCCTCCACCGTGGCTTTGGGTGGCCCTGGACCACCCAGCCGCACCAAGGAGCCTTCCTGGCTGAGCGGCAGCTGTTTGTTCCCGCTGTATCTGCTTGTTCCCCTGGGCACTCTGCGTGCCCCCTCCTCTTCCTCGTGGGGACCAGGGCGTTGGGACTACAGTGGGGACCCAGCCCTTAGCGCACACCAGAGAATCCACATCAGAGGGAATGGGTGGGAGCACCCCCGCACGCAGGAGCAATGCCAGGGAGCTGGGGATGCCCGGCTTTGCCAGGTCTCTGCTGGAGGGCAGCTGGCACTGCCGCTCCTCTTGAAAGATGCTTCCTTTGACACCAGCGGGGCTGTGATGGACGCCCCCAGGTTTGTGCCCCGATCCGTGGGCAGGCATCGCACAGCTGGCTTCGGTCTGGGTGTATTTATTTATACTGGCAAGGCTGAGAGCGCGTTAATAAGTCGAGCATGGGCGAAGGGCGGCTGCGGAGGGGCTGGCACCGCTGTTCCACCAGCGCCGGGCGAGCAGCCGCCGCCTCTGGGCGAGAACGCGGCTTCCCGTGCGCTCGCTGCAAGCCCCCGGGAGCCCAGGCAGCTCGAGAGCCTGCGGTGAGGAGACAAAAGCACTTGTTGGAAGGGACAGCCAGGTGCGAGCAGCTCCGGCACCGCTCCGGCTCATCGCGGCACGGCAGCAGCGCGCTCGGCTGCGCGGTACCGCCGGCGTTTTGCCTCTTAATTATAAGTGACCCCCGGCTGGAACAGCAACCAGAGAGCTGCTCTGCCCTCCCCCGGGACCCTCATTAAGCATCTCTGGCTTTACCCCGCCGGGAGCTGCGGTGCGGGAGGCCGGGGGTAGTGACACGGTGCCGGCCTGTGCGCACCGCTCTGCCCACCCTGGCTGGAGCGGGGGACAATTCGGAGCTGCACTAATTGGCCTTGTTGCTGCCAAGTTGTGCTGACTGGAGAGTGGAGAGGTCAGCAGATGAGGGTCATCCTCCTCCTCCTCCTCGGAACACAGGGTGCCTGTCCCCAGGGCCTTCAGATTTGCATTTACTCTCGTCCCCGAAGCAGGTTCTGTAGCAAGTGAGCTACCAAAGTGATACTTCTCTGTCAGCTCCAGCTCCGGAGAGAGGAAGGATTCAGCAGCCAGACGGGAAAAAATAATTCCTCTCACTGAGCATTTGAGGCCAGATACTCACAGTGTTGGTTATACTGAAGCCTATTTTATCTCTGTCCAGCTTAATGTTATTTTCCATAACTTCTAGCTAAGTAGAATCAGGACACAACCCATTGAAGTCACCTTCTGAACTTGCCATTTCCTGAGACCTGAAAAGGGGGAAAATCAGTAAAACCTACAAATGTTTCTCTGCACACCAGGCTGGGCAGCACGAAACAGCCTCATCTACTGTCTGTGGAAAGCTGAGGCTTTGCTGAAAACCAGGGACATTGGTGTGGAAACCTGGGCCTCCAGACGGGCAGCAAGGGTCCAGCCCCGAAATTACAGCACTGATGCAGCAGGCTGGGAAAGCCTAGTGAAACACAGCACTCGTCTTTCCCCTCCATCCAGACATCAGATGATCCAGACATCATCCCCTCTCTGAGATGAGATACCCAGCTCGCCGCGGGAAGGCTCTGGCTGTCAGGGACCGATCCTGGTGGCAAACAGCATCTTTGATCTCGCCGTGGCTGTTCCTGGCAAGGCTGCCCTGTGGGGTTGGCTGCGAACGTGGCGCAGCAGGCTCCCTGCTCCCAGCCTCAAATATCTGTCTGTTCCGCTCCGGCCACAAACCCTCCCCCGGACTAGAAAGAGGGAAAATTACATGCTACGATTTGCAGATTTGGCAGAGATAAATCCCCCACGGAAGGCGAGGCTGGAGATGCCAAGGCCGATAGCGCCAGGCTGAGCGTGTCGTGGGAGCGCCCTGTCTCCCCCCGAGCCCGCTGCGCTGACACCGGGGCTGTCCTGCTCCCGGGGGGAAGCTGGGAAACTCCCTCCTGCCCCGCTTGGGGCTGGCAGTGCGCCAGGCCGATCCCGTAAAACCCTGAGGCTGGATCACTCCACAGGCAAAATCGTCTTGGATTAAACGTGGGAGAAAAAGCAGAGCAGTTATGCAAAAAGGGTGGCCAAACACATAGTGAGAGGTTGGCTTCAGCTGCTGGGGAGGGCAGCCAGGCTCAGCAGCGTCCTGAAGGGGCAGAAGGGACAGAAAGGACAGGCAGCTCCCAGCCGACCGTCAGCAGGGGGTGATGGGGTGGGCACCGGCCCTTCCAGGACCATGCTGGGCTCTCGCAAGCTGTCAGCTGAAAGACGAGAGGAGCCCAGGAAGGGGGGAAAAAACCCCTGACGTGTGGCATATTTCATAACATGAGATGTGAAACTTTAATGGGCTCAGTGTTATCAAGGAGAACAGGAAGCCCAAAGCTGTACGTGGTGCATGAAACCCAACAGCAACACGCGATACCATCACACGCTCCTCCGCCCGCCGCGCCTGCCGGCGGCCCCCGAGGCCAGTCCCGCTCGCCTGCACAGCACCAGCTCTCTGCTTAGCTCCAAGACATGAGATACTGACCTGAAGAGCTGCGACAAAGCAGCAGAGTGCTAAATAAAAAGTGATGATGCCCGAGGCCGGGCTGTGGCGGAGGGCGAGCTGTGAAAGCTCGGGGCTGGCAGCTGCGGCACCGTGAGTTGTGGCCAGGGCTGTATTTCTGCCTTGCAGAGCTGAGCAGTAAATCCTGGACAGAGGATCTCACGGAGCCACCAAGGGACAGCCACTGACAAAATTTATGGCTCAAAGGCAGTAGAGACATGCCATAAATATAGGAGGTGTGCAGGAGAGCTGGCCCTGCACTTCCCGAGGGGAGGCTCATCCCCTTGCCTGTCCTCTCATTTTGGTTTGGCCGCCAGTGCTCATTGTTGTTAAAATGTTCCACACTCTGGAAGGAGCTGGTACCTGTCCCTGGCAGCGCTGGGGATGGCCACAATGGGTAACAACGGCCTTGACTCACACTAGCAACATCAGGAATAAAAGAGAGATGAGAATTGGGGTGGTGACATCTGCCAGCCCTCTCCCTGTCACCTCCACCCATGGCTGGCCTCTCCTGGGGTTTACCCCCCCAGCTGCATCCCCCAGGCTCACTCATCACTGACCTCCACCAAAGCCAAACCTTGTGGCTGTTCCCACACCCTAAGGCCAGAAAAGATTATTTCACTTGTGTCAGCACTTAAAAGAATAATAATAAATCAATGTATAATAAATATATAATATAATAACATAATATAATAAATAAATATAACTATAAATCTGCAGCAGTCACAATCTCTGCCAAGTGACACCGGCAGTGGACAGTCAGGCTGGGAATAGAGAGTAATGTGAGAGCTGAATGTGCCAGCCCTGGGTGGCACTGGGATGGCACTGGGATGGCACTGGGATGGCACTGGGATGCAGGCTGACACACAGGCTGCAAGCACACTGGATCTCATTGCAGATATGGGAAAATGAGCATCTGTACTTCTGAACAGTGGCCAAGGATTTGGAGAACATTATCAGTGGTCTGAAGGAGGAAAGGGAAAGGTCTCCTGGGAGGATTAACGTGACATTTGATCCCACAGCAGTGATTACACCCTAGGTAACTATGGGCTTGGGAAGAGAATCCAAAAATGGGTTCAAAGGGATGAGGTGGAAAATCCTGTCAGAAATGTGAAGGAATAAAAGCAGCTGAGAGGGGAGAGGGGAACTAAGCAACATTTATCTAGGAATTAATAATAATGAAGAAATAAAGTTCTGCTGTTGACTTCACTTCGGGACTTTGCCCTGATCCAGGATTTATAGGCCACATATCTTTCTCATTTGGGGAAGAATTTGCAGGCCTGTGCCCTTACTCATCGCACGAGCAGCTGTGGGTACCACACATCTGGCTTTCCTGGGCACAACGGATGCTTCTGCCTGGAAACTACATCGGGAGCAAAATCTGAGCCTGGGATGAGAAGTGATCCCATCCAACGGTGACATTGACCACATTATGATGGGACAGCTACAGCCATGACCTTGAGCAAACAGCCCGTTAATAGGAAATCGCCATTCCAAAAAGGAACATGCTCCTCTAGCCCAGAATTCTGATGACGACAGCAGAGCCTCAGTGAGCTCATCCCTACAAAGACGTTTCTGTCCAAAGGCAGAGGTTCGTTTCTAAAAGTCTGCATGTTCACAAGTCACAGTGAGGAAGAAAAAAAGCCATGAAAGAGATTCCAGGCTGGAATGAGGACCCAGCAACACTTCTGCTGCAGGGCCCGAGAGCGGCACACTGCCCCGGGTCCGGAACCGACCTGCGGTGGGAGAACGACTCAGCTGCCAGAACAACTCCAAAACTCCCAACCCGGCAAGTGAGAAAAGCGCGGCCAGAGCCCTGCCCAGCGCCACCAGTGTGCAGCACGCAGCGAGTCCAGCCCTCGGGCCAGGGCTGTTAATTACACCCAGACCAATTAACGCCCCCAGCCCCC